GGCAAAAAGATGAAAGATGGAATAAGCGAATTCTACACTGGAGACTATGGGAAAAGAAAAAGAGGAACACCACAGATGAGATGGACTGACGACCTTAAGAGAACGGCAGGAAAGGACTGGATGCAGATCGCCCAAAATAGAGACCAATGGAGATTAACAGGGGAGGCCTATGCCCAAGAGTGGGCGTTTAAGGCTGATTAGATAGATAGATAGATTTCATAGATTATTCTGTAATAATCGCAATTTAACATTGCTACACTGCAAAACCGTAGGTTGACAGCTGATATGATATTTTTGTTTCAAATTCTAACACTGTTATTCATTGTCCCCCGATATTAGTCAATGTTTACTTGCAACACAATACATAGAACTCAGCACATTGCACTGTTATATTCCTTTTTCATATGACTCATTAAGCTCGTCATTTTCCCTTGTCGAGAATGCTCAACTCTTGCAATGACCTATTATACCTTCTCCTTCTTCTTCAGCCTTAAGTAATCCATCTTTGGACATAGGCCTCCCTCAAATCAATCCAGTGTTTTCTATTTTGCGCCACTTACTTCCAGTTGTGTCTTCCGATCTTCTTAATGTCATCAGCTCATCTCATTTGTGGTCTTCCTCTACTTCTTTTTCCTAATCATGGTCTCCATTGTGTGGTTCCATCCTTTATCATTCAGTCGGGTATTGTGTCCTGCAAAGCTCCATTTTAATTTGGCAGCACGTTCTCCTGCGTCTTTTGCTATGGTTTTGCTTCTAACCAATTTGTTTGTTTTTTGTCTATAAGTCTCATCCCAAGCATTGATCTTTCCATCGTTCTTTGTGTCTTTACTATTTTATCCATATTAGACTTGATGAGTGTCCACGTCTGTGAGATCCAACTCAGTTTTACAAATCCTGTCATCAGCGTATCTCAAATGACTCAGTTTTCTTCCATTAACATCTGCCCAGTTAATGTCTTTAAACACGTCTTCCAGTCCGAGTGTGAATAGCTTTGGTGAGATAACATCTCCCTGACGAACTCCTCTGTTGATTGGTATAGCTTTGGTTTTCACTTCTATTTATGTTTTCATTGTAGCTTTCTTGTAAATATTATGTATGAGCATTCTGTATCGGGAGTCCATCCTGCAGCTATTTATAGCTCTCCCTATTGCCCAAAGTTCTATGAAGTCGAATGCCTTTTCATAATCAACGAAGCGAATGTAAAAGTTCAAGTGATATTCATTGGCTTTCTATATTAGTGTTCTGATTATAAGAAGATGATCAGCTGTACTCTAACGCATTCGGAATTCTGTCTGCTCTACCGGTTGATAGCTATCGAGCTTTGACGTTAACCTGTTAGTTATTACTCTCATAAACAGTTTGTACATATTGCGACAGCAGGGAGATTGGCCTATAGTTCTTCAGATCTCCTCTGTCTCCTTTTTTGAAGAGAAGTATTGTCAAACTTTCATTTGAATCATCTGGGACTTCTTCTCTGTGAAGACATTCGTTGAAAAAATGTCCCTTTTCTATATTGGTGTCGAATTTCGTCTCCGTCATTATCTCTCTGGATGCGGTCACTTTCCCGTGTAAGCTCTCAGTGGCTATGTCAGCAGTCAATCTCCGATTCATTTCCCATAGTACGAAAAATGGAGCTCAGTGCCACAGGAAGAAGTCGAAGAAAGCTAAGAATAAAGGATTAAACAGTGCTATAGTATATGTGTAAAGGTTTATTTGTGATTAGTGTATAATCCGTATGGGTACATTAGAAGATCCTTTTTATTTCATGGGTATCAACTATCAAAAGATCAATGATCTTAAAATTTTATATTTAAATACTCGTATTGTAGAGAAAGTAAATCTCGAATAAAATCGACAACGATTACGATAAAACAGTTTTTATATACATTTGTTTATCAGTAAATACGATATTGAACTCGATACTTAACCTTGGATTAGCTAGTGTATTGTTAAAATTATTGTATAAGTGATATTCATTGGCTTTCTCTATTGGCGTTCTGACTGCAAGAAGATGATTCGCTCTACTGTAACCCTTTTGGAATCCTGCCTGCTCTACCGGTTGATAGCTATCGAGCTTCGACGTTAACCTGTTAGTTATTACTCTCATAAACAGTTTGTACATTTGGCAGATCCTATAGTTCTTCAGATCTCCCCTGTCTCCCTTTTTGAAGAGAAGTATTGTCAAACTTTCATCCCAATCATCTGGGACTTGTCCTTTGTGAAGACATTCGTTGGAAAAATCTTTCAATTCTTCGAGAATAATTTCACTCCCCTCCTTCAACATTTCTACAAGTATTCTATCTGGACCCGGAGCCTTATTTTTCTTTAGTTGTGCCATAGCTTGTTTTCTTTCGAGGGATTCCATGTTAGTGAGTATTTCTGGGTTGATATTCGTTATCTTTCTCGAAAGATCTTCCTTTGCAGTGTTATCTGGGTTCTTGTTTGAGGAATATAAATCACGGTAAAATGTTTGAGTAACTTTTAGGATTTCATTCTTTTCTCTTATTTCTTTTTCATCTTTATCCTTCAATGAGATTATTATAGGCTTTCCTAAGTTTGATCTTAAGCATTTCAGGCCTCGGATCTTTTCTACCTTGTTTTCATTGTAGATCCTTAAATCTTCCGCTACTTTTTTCTTTATTTGTTTATTCAATTCTTTCTTTGAAACCATTGGTTTTTCGCTTTCCTTCGCTTAGAAATGTGCGTCTCTTTCCCATCAACCGTTTTGTTCCATCACTTATTCTGTCTTCTTTATTTTTCGTTTTCTTTGCAACGGTCTACTTTCAAGAGCTTTGGTTGTATTTCTTTATTAATTGTGTTCATGTCTGAATATTCTTGTTGATGTTCTACAAATTATTTTCTTTAAACTTCTCTGTACTCATCTCCCTTCTGTTGTATTTTAGTTTGATCTATCTGATTACAATAATTATGTGCCCTGTTTCTACTGGTTTTTGTCTGTTTAATAAGAATCCTTGCTCTTAAAAGGAGATGATCACTGCCACTTGTGAATCGATTGAGAGCAGTTATATCTTCAAAAATGTCTTTGTTCGCACACAAGAAGTAATCGATCTCGTTTTTCTTCTTTTTAATAATAATTTTAAATAATTAATAATTAAAATACGTAGATATCTCCCGATATCTACGTCTATTTTCGTATATCTCTATCTATTTTGTATATTTCCTATAAATTTTGTTGTTCTAAGAAATTATAATTTTTTTTCCTTTTTCCTTTCGTGTGCCATAACCATTCCCTATTTTAGTTTCAGTATTTTCTTCTCTTTTACCTAATTTTACTTTAAAATCTCCCATAATGATGATATACTTTGTATCATTTTCTTCTAATGCTGTTATCAAATCTTCGTAGAACATTGCAACTATCTCTTCCTGATGTGTTGTTGTGGGGGCATACACTTGTATAACCTTGATCTTGGTTTTATTATCTAGGTCTATTATAATATAAGTTTGGTACTCTAACAGAGAAACGCTGTTATATGTAGAAATGTATGGTGTGATTACTTTTAACAAGTAATCCTGCTCTACGTTATGTTTCGTCTATTTTCCCTGTATAGTATAGGCGATTTCCAGAGTTTAGATGCATGCATTGTTCGCCTCTTCTTTTCACTTCTGACAGTAGTACAATATCCCACTTTATCTTGGATAGTTCATCTAATTCGTAGACCTTTTCATCTTTAGTCACAGATTGGATGTTGTATGTGGCTAGTAGTAACTGTTTTTGTTTGTTCGTATCTATTTTGGCGCGTTTTGTTGAGCCCAGAATCCGTGAGACTGACCGGTTTTCCGGTGTGGAATTCTAAGCAGTTAGCTCTACCTACGTGGTACCGCACCTTTCAGGAATTGTATTCCTGAAGCCACGGGCCACTAATGACACAGCTGCTGACCTGTCATGTCCTCCGTTGATCCTCGGGTACTTATTTGGCAAAGCTTTATTCATACCTGTTCTGCATATCTACAGGGATGTTCCCTATCAGCCATTGGGACGCGACGTGTAGGAGTTCAGGACCTCCCCGCCCAGTCTGTCTTGCACAAAGTACTGAAAAACCCCTACTCAGTTCAGCGTCCCTCCTCTACACAAGCTAAGACCTGCATGGCCTATTATGCCATTCTGTCCAAACATTAATGTTTTCAATAGACAACTTAAGACTCTAATTATTCTAAATATGTGACATTTTTTTTCCTTTTGTGATTTAATATACTGTTTTATTGTACAAATTTTTACTTTTTAATTGTTTCTTTGTTGTTGTTTTGATGTTTATTTTACATGATCTTTGCTTTTTTACTATTTTTTTTTGTAAATGGTTCTACCGTTGAAATAAATAAATAAATAAATAAAAAGTATGAAGTTTTTCTTTTCTTAATAGTTGTTGTAAGTTCTAACTCTCTATTTATGGTATTTAATACTGTTCGATTCATACTGTGTCATGTCTATGATATTCTGAGCATTCTGCGATACAGCCACATTTCAAACGCTTCAAGCCATCTCATGGTATTTAACTTTAATGTCCAGGCTTCCACTCCACACAGGACTGATTAAACATAGAATTTAATAACTCTAATTCGGATGTCTAAGTTAGTTATCGGTTCTAGATAATTTGTTTCCATTTATTGTATATGTCCCTAGCCTATTATTGCTTTTATTTCTATATCTGGATTCCACTTATCATTTAGTACTACTCCTAAGTATCTGAATTTATGAACTTGTTGTAATTGACTGTTATTTTAACACTAACATATTTAACTTTTATTAATACCTTGAGCTAATTAAATCCAAAATAACAAGTTGCAGTTTGATACATTATCTGATAGATAACTTCTGGTTAATTATGAACTTATTTTTTGAGAAGTTTAATAAAAAAATCTGTTTTCTACATTTTGTGAAAATTGCACTTCTTGCAAATGGCCAGTTTTGGAATTACGCAACTCGTTTACAATTTATGACCAGTTTTAAATATATTTAAATGAAACTCAAACATTTATTTTTTCAAGTAATTTTATTGAAAAATTACAGGAAAATTGAGAATAGTCAAATACAGGTGTACAATATACAAAAACAATGCATTTACTACTTAATACAAAAAATATATATCACAATCATACGCCTGTACCTAACACACAAAATAATAAATAAATAAATTCACCCATTCAATGAGTGAACCGGAAAATTTACAAAAAAGTCTATTACAAAAAGAGGAATAACAGTCACGGAAATTAAATAACACACGATCGTCCGCATTCTCACGCATCCACACAAGTTTTTTCAGTCTTTTTGGCCTACAATTCACCTCACAATTCATCTTTAAGTTCATCATCATCCTCGCTGGTGGGTGGAGGTGGGGCACCACCTGTGCTCTGGTACAATTTAGCGATGATGGGCTGCACAACATCTTCCAATTCCTTCTTCTGTTTCTTGTAGTCTTCTGAATCTGTATCTTGATTGTCTTCTAACCATTTGATCTTCTCATCGATAGCTTCTTCCATTTTGGTCTTTTCATCATCTGATAACTTAGCTCCCAACTTGTCTTTGTCATTAATTTGGTTCTTGAGCGAATAAGCATAGCTTTCCAATTCATTTCTAGCTTCTACCCTTTCTTTAAGTTTCTTGTCTTCATCAGCAAATTTCTCAGCATCATGAATCATACGGTCAATGTCTTCAGGAGTCAATCTGTTCTGATCATTTGTGATAACAATCTTTTCCCTGTTTCCAGTTCCTAAAAAAATATATAAACTTGATAAATGTCCAATATATATAATAATTTGAACTATGAAGTTATTTTTTCCACTTGTGCTTTCAAAATAATTTTAGTCTGTTTTCTAATTTCCATTAATCTCAAGTACTTTTTTGTACAATTTTTATTTCCAGAAAGCTGGTTAACAACAATTTAGTTAGGTTGCTTATCTTAATAATCCCACAGTTTTTATTAGCACACTTTAAAAAACTATATAAAATCAACAAGAACTTACCTTTATCTTCAGCAGATACTTGTAAGATACCATTGGCATCAATTTCGAAAGTAACTTCAATCTGTGGTACTCCTCTAGGTGCTGGTGGGATACCAGTCAAATCAAATTTACCTAACAAGTGATTGTCCTTGGTCATGGGACGTTCTCCTTCATATACTTGGATGGTGACAGTGTGTTGGTTGTCAGATGCAGTAGAGAATATTTGAGATTTCTTTGTGGGAATGACAGTGTTTCTTGGGATCAACTTGGTCATGACACCTCCTACAGTTTCAATTCCCATGGTCAAAGGATTGACATCCAATAGTACAATGGCATCAGTATCTTGTTCTCCAGAGAGGACACCAGCTTGAACAGCAGCACCATAAGCAACAGCTTCATCAGGGTTGATACCTCTTGAAGGTTCTTTGCCTCCAAAGAATTCTTTCACCAATTGTTGTACTTTGGGAATACGAGTTGAACCTCCTACAAGTACAATTTCATCTACATCCTTCTTGTTCATGTCAGCATCTTCCAATACTTTTTGTACTGGTTTCATGGTAGAGCGGAAAAGATCCTAAAAAAAAAACAAAAAACCTTTAATAAAGCACTATTTTCCTATTGTGTTAATGGAATAAAATATACTGATTAGATAATCTACTAGTAAAGAAACCATATTTAACATATAAAGAACTTACCATATTTAATTCTTCAAATTTGGCTCTGGTGAGAGTTTCAGAGAAATCATCACCTTCAAAGAAGGATTCAATTTCAATCCTGACTTGGTGACTGGAAGACAAAGCTCTCTTGGCCTTTTCAACTTCTCTTCTCAATTTTTGGACTGCTCTGTTGTCTTTTCTGATATCCTTACCCTTCTTCTTCTTGTACAACTTGATGAAATGATCCATAACTCTTTGATCAAAATCTTCACCACCCAAGTGAGTGTCTCCATTGGTAGCAACTACTTCGAATACTCCATTGTCAATAGTTAAAAGAGAAACATCAAAAGTACCACCACCCAAATCAAAGACTAATACATTCTTTTCTCCTTCCTTTTTATCAAGACCATAGGCAATAGCAGCTGCAGTAGGTTCATTGATGATTCTCATGACATTAAGACCAGCAATGGTACCAGCATCTTTGGTGGCTTGACGTTGGGCATCATTGAAATAAGCAGGAACTGTTACAACAGCATGGGTAACCTTTTTGCCTGTAAAAAGAAAATTTTTTCGTTAATTTTTATGTCTTGAGATGCATTTTTTAATAGCACATCTTGAATAAGCAATTTAAGGTCTTTTTCATTTTTGAAATTCAACTTACCTAAGTACGCTTCTGCTGTTTCTTTCATTTTTCCCAAAACCATAGCTGAAATTTCTTCAGGGGCAAATACCTTAGTTCCCTGGCTGGTTTCTACTTGAATATGTGGCTTCTGGTTCTTTTCAATGACTTTGAAGGGGAATAGCTTCAAGTCATGTTGAACTGTAGAGTCTGTGAAGTCACGACCAATGAGACGCTTGGCATCAAAAACAGTGTTTTCAGGGTTTGTTGTAAGTTGATTCTTGGCAGCATCTCCAATAAGACGCTCACCATCGGCAGTGAAGGCAACATAAGAGGGAGTGATACGGTTACCTTGGTCATTGGCGATAATTTCTACTCTACCATTTTTGTATACACCCACACTGAAAATAAAACAAAAATTTGGTTAAGTTCGTGAAAGAAAGAATAGATGAATGAAATAAGAAGATGGTTATGGCTAAATATCTGCTTCCCAGTTGATTAAATATAGGCCTAATAAAGTGTTTACTGATAAAATATTATATTTAAGATACACAACAGGGAAGTCGTTAATTTAAAAAATTAAAATTCTGCTAAAAACAATCTCAAGCAGTGTTGTTTAATTATCTAACATGTAAAGAGACACACTTGGAGGAGACTTCACATCCTATGAAGAATTTGAGGAAATATGTGTATCCTTATGACATCTAAAGTGTGAATTCAAATATTGCTATAAAAAATAAGTCCATATTAAATTCAGCTAACAGTCAGAAAGAAACCCCAGTCAGAACACTGCTACAGCAATGACTTGGAAAATACTTGTCAAAATGATGATGTTATTAATAAATTTATGTTATTAATTATAAATAGTTTAATAAAGTTATTGTAAAATATTTTGGGGAGTTTACATTCCTGACAATATTTATCTTTTGTATTAAATAAAGTGATTGTTTATTCATCATTTGATAATCCTATATATAACTTAAGTTAGAAAAGTTTGATAAATACTTCATATTATTTGAAGTATATCATTGAGGTATATATTATGTGCCATAATCACTGAAATGCAGAAAATAAATCCACAACCTTTGCATTCTTATTTGATTCCACAAATTTTGTTGTGAATGGCATTATTATATTATAATGATTCCACCATTCAGCAGAACTTTCAATATGTTCTTGACTTAATGCCCGTGAACATTTAGCCATACCATAACAAAAAACAGCTACAATTTTATAAGGTGGATTTTAAAAAATACGAAACTGAATTAATTTACTTATTTCAGCCCTAGAGCAACACAGACTCCCACACAAGATGTACATACAATACACTGTAATGAAGAGAATTCACAGAAGAGAAACACAAAAAGAAGTAAGTGAAATTACTTCTAAAAGAAGTGCAAAAAGTTGTAGAACTCTTATTTGAAATGAGCTGGAATAAAGCCATCTTTTTCTTGGATTAAGTAAAGAACAAGGATGGAATTGCTTATCCAAAATATATTTCCGAATTTCCTCAAATTTCTGAAAAATAAAATGACTTCGAAAGCAAAAGAGAGCTTTTATATTCGTTTTAAGATGAAAACATTTTTTAAAATATACATTAAAATGAAGCAAACACCACAAAAATCTAGTCCATTATTATATGCCATCTGGTAAGAATTTTTTAACGAAAATTCTCACTTACCATGAATATGTTGTTCCCAAATCAATTCCGATAACTGTTCCAACATCTTCTTTATCCTTTTTCTCTTCTTTCGCTCCCAAAACGGCAGCTAATAGAAGCAGCACTCCGAAACCCAAATATAACCTCATTTTGGGCGTTAGTCGACACACTTATCTGAAAAGAATAAAAAAACTGTAAATTATATGTGCCTATGAACTGTAACGGTAAATTGATGATTATTTAGTTGTTGAATAATGGGTGTATGGTTGTACAGATTGAATAACTGTATCATAGACACGTCATTTTAAATGAACTTTTAACATGTTAAACTTTGGTCAAAAAGATCTGCAAAACAAAATAATTATCAAAAGTTCGTCTATGATACAGAAATATATGCCAAGAGATTAATTAATTAAAAATCTTGTCTGGAGCATTCTGGAATACCGGCTGATCAAGTATTCAAAATCATTATATTAGTGATATATAACTATAGTTTAAAATGTACAATAGTAACCTAAGATCATATATATTCTACTTACATTTTATTTAATTCTAGTTCACCGCAATATTATCACTTTTCACTACTAATTCCAATCCTCGTGTGTTTCTTGTATCGACTTCTTTGACAAACTGAATTGAATTAGTGAGCATGACAGAAATATAGCATATAGAAATATTCGTGTTGCTTTCTTATTGGTTGCCATTCGGACGAGGCAAATGGTGATTGGTGGAAATTTCACGTGTTGGCGTGTCACCATTGGTCCAGCGAAGTATTTTCGAAAAGGAAAGCGTTCTAGATCATACGTTTGTCCTTATGTACGTGTCTTTTTTACTAGAATCTGATGCAACGTACCGTAGGTATTATTTCGACGAGTGTGTGAAGTGGCGCGAAGATTTGAATTCAAAATTGTCCGCCAAAAATGTGCCATTTAAGATTATGGAGTTATTAATATTTAAATAATTAATTGTGTTGTTTTAAATGGGAAGTTTTTAAAACATGATAGTTTAAGATATATTTCATTTCCGTTTTATTACCATATTTCAAATATTTTCTACTTTAAATCTAAGTTTTTAATTATTAATATATTCTTAATAAAAATATATTTTTTGTTAACCGTTCCTTTCAAGATTATTCAATAAGATCATTCAGTTTAGAAATGAAAAAATGATCGATTTTAGGAGAAAATTTATTACAGGTAGGTATCTGATAGCTTTAAACCATAGGAGGGACATAGTAATAGTATAAAAGTTTTTTAATTGTTTATAAGTTAAAAAGTGCACGATTACACTATGAAAGATAAAGACTTCTACTTTTATAGACCAAATTAATAAAAAAAAAAACATTTTTATATTAAAAAATAGTTTTGCAAAGTTCCAAAAATATTTTTAACATATAAACAATTTGAATAACTCTTAAACTGTCACTAGTATACAAAAAATTTTTTTTGTAACAGATGACAATTTTTACACAAATTTAAACAAAGAAGTGATATTCTGGGACGATTAGATAAAAATTAGGGATTTTTCTTATGTGCAGCAAATTGGTTATAATAATTAAAAAACGTAATTGGTCTGGTTTTAAAGTTAAATACTTAAAGTTTACTTCGAAGTCCTAAATACAGTTTAATTTTGTCTATTTCCATGGACTAATAGAGTCACACAGATTTGCAAACATGAAAATTGGTTTTGGACTCTCTATGCAGACAGATATAATTGTATATCATAAATATACGTATAAAATATTTATTATACATATAAATATTTGCGTTACATTAAAAAATGGATAATCTGGATTGCCAAAGTATTAAACTGGTATTCACATAATGATCAAATCCTATGCATAAACAATTGGTTGCATTATTATTTGCAACATTTATAAAAATCCATCACATACTACGAATTTAATGGGGAGATAAGGATTTATTAAAATAGTTAAGTATTTGTTGCTCAAAAATAAAAAAAATAAATAAAAATTAAGAATTTTTCAAAATATTGTCTGATTTTTAAGGGGAACGAAAATTGTAATAATAATAATAACCTGTGGGAGTTTTTATCAGTTCTTCTATCGGGCGTGCCCCCTGCGAATGGGGCCTGGGTATACTTTCTGGGTATTTTTAGCATTAGTACCCAGAGGGTAGCAGGGTTACCTGCCGTGGAATAAAAACTGACACCTGGCAGTAGGTATAAAATGCACACTCATGAAAATGGAGATTAATGATATATGTTTAGGGTCGTTACCTGGGGATTGCCAGGGCACGTCTGGAGCCGGCGTTGGACATGGCAGCATGCAGGACGTCAGTGGCAGGGTGTTGAGGAGACAGGCCCCTGTCATACAATCAGCTACAGCCCAACAATAACAACCACAAGCGAGCCAAATAACAACAAGAGCTTCACTCGCTGAAGGTGCTGCGCTGGAACATCAGCTGGCGCTCAATCAAGCGGGACGACCGAGGCAGCGCATGAAATGGACTGTGTCTATAAATGAAAACATTTTGCGTTTCTATTACAAGGTGACGAACCTCGGTCGAGAAACGATCGACAACATCTGTATGCGGAATTTTGCAGAGAGTACCCAGCGATTCAAGTCTCTGAACAGCGAATAGCAGATCAATACCGGGTAATTATAAGAAATTATCTTATCCCAGAGACTAGACACAATACCATCAGAAGCGAAGTCGAACGGTAGATTCATAACTAAGAGCTAGTTGTGGATCAAGTCCATATAATGAAATCCCTAATGAGCAGATTCCTGAGCCTCTCATCTCATGTAAGAAACTCAACCTGTAAATACGCAGCAGGACAACAACGAGTTGTACGATAGCCTGGTAAGAGGAATGACACGTGCCGTATAAGAGTTTAATGGGATAAACCCACTTAGTAGACCACTGCTACCAAAAATAAACTCTTGTAAGAAAGTTGGTGCGCTGTTACAATTATTATGAACGCTGAAGTTTTACCCAATTATATCGTGGAAGCTCATACATTAGAATATTTGCATATGCTGATTTACTGTGCAGCCACAGCAATTGCTAATAATATGGTCATTAAGATCAGGGGCATTAACACTACGGTGTACTAATATCGAAAGGACAGATAACAGAGTTGCACTTTGGGAAAAATGGCTACTAAGTAAAATTAAAGCATAACGTAGGACATTAGGGAAGCATAGGTTAAATCACAAAATATGTTCGAGGAACAACAAGTAGAAAAGTAATCAGAAGAGCTGAAGAAATAATGATAACCACCGCAAGACACTCATAATATAATCCAGAAAACAACACAGCACAACAGTGCCTGGTTATATTAAAACAAAAACGTACCGTTTACTCAGGCCGACTAAGGAGATACAAAATTAGTAACAAATGAAAATCTGACAATAAACTTTTTGAGAATACTGAGAAGGCGTTCTATCGGAAACTCAATTCTACTGCATAAAGTGCCAATAAATCGTACCCAAGATAAGAAAAAATCCATGAAAAATCCATAACTACCAACACTACGTTACTACTCCCTACGAACCCTTTACCACTGAAGAAGTTTCAATTATTATCAAAGAGCTTCATAACTGGAAATCTCCTAGACCAGACGGCATTCAGAACTTCTGGCTTAAGAAGTTCTAGAGTATTCATGAGTGCTTGTCACCATTAGTTAACCACAGTATTTCCAATCCGCAGGAAATACCATCTTTCCTAACCCAGGGAACAACTTATTTAATACCAAAAGATCAAAATAACACCCAAAATCCAACCAAGTATCGTCCAATTACTTGTCTTCCAACTCTGTATAAATTGGTCACATATTGTGTAGCCCGGCGCATCTACTAACACTGTGCTCTAAACAATATCATAGAGCCTCACCAGAAAGGGTGCACTAAGGGTTCCATGGGTTGCACAGAACAACATCATCAACTTTGTCATTTCTAACCAAGCATATAGCAAAAAAACGAATCTATTTACTGATTTCATCGACTACAAGAAAGAGTTTGATTCAGTGCCGCATGAATAGCTTATAGATAATTAAAAATATATCAATAATAAAAATATATTAAGTCGATAACATAGTGAACTTTTATGAGTGACATAAAACATATAATGTCAGATTGGAAGACAAAAATTCACCTCCAAATAACTGATGAAAATAATATTGAAACTTAAAATATTGCAATCAACCGGGGCCTATTTCAACGAGACTCGTTGAGCCCACTGTGATTTTGTCTGGCGATGAACCCCCTATCCCAGCTACTGAACTCAACTGACACAGGTTTTAGCATCAAAAATAACGCTACTACTGTGGCAAAGCTTAATCATATATTGTATATGGGTGATTTAAAACTATTGGCTTCCACTCGAAGCCACCTGGATCAGATGCTGAAAACAGTGCAAAATTTCTCTAATGACATTAGTATGCACTTCGGCCTTGACAAGTGCCGTGTCTTAAATATAATCAAAGGAAAGGTTCAGCCCGGTGGATTCGATCTGCAAAACGGCCAGAACATCAAAACCATGGGTGAAAATGATATTTATAAATTCCTCTGAATAAACTGAGTGTATACGAAGAGTAAAACAGCTGCTTCGTTCACACTTACTAAATAGTAAAAATTAAGGCACTAAACACCTATTCATGTTCCATCAAACTGGCGCTTAGCTACTCATTTGGTATTGTTAAGTGGACAAAACCTCTTCAGCGAAAAGTACGAACAAATCTTACAAAGGCGCAAAAACACAATCTTCGTAGAAGTGCAGTAGAAAAAAACAACATTACCGCGGTATTTAGGAGGACGAGGACTTATGGATATAAGTGAGCAACTAGAAAAACACATTACTAATTTAAGAACTTATTTTCAGGTGCGGGCTGAGACATCTACTTTACATCACGCGATTTGGGTAAACCTCTTCACGAGCGACATCCTAATGAGGTCAGTCAAGACCATATCGACAATATAGGGCTGACATCAGAAAAGTTGTTCCCTGAAATAGAAGGTTCATTACTCGTCATTCAGGATCAGGTTATACCAACCAAAATTACCTCAAGAAACCATCAAAGGATGTCAAGCTCAAGAAACCATCCAACACCTTACAGGGGTCTTCCAGGCATTTGATTCATCTGAATAGAAAGAACGTCACGACTCAGTAGAAAATATCCTTCATCAAGAGATAGCCATCAAACTGGGACTTCTCCAAACAAACCATCTCACATATTACCAATATGTTCCTGAAAGTATACTTGAGAATGATAACTACAAGCTATACTGGGACCGCACTGTACTCACAGACCAAACAATGGCACATAGTAGACCAGATCTCATATTAGTTATTAAACTAAAGAGACAAACTGGAGAATTGAAAGTACTCAGACAATACCTATTATTCTTTCTACCACTGGAGTCATTCCGAAGAACCTGCTAGAAAACAAAAAAGCTATTTCTGAATGAACATCTCTACAAGACCATGCAGAAATTTGTACTGCTCTCAACGTCCAGATGTATACAAAAATGTTTGGGACATACTACAGCATACCAAGTCACCTAGAGCTCGATAACACGGAAAGAGTCCCACCAGAGAACAATCCTTGTGATATTGTAGGTATTTAGGATGAATGAATTTTCCCCTTAAAGGGAGTGTGAACCGTATAG